GAAAAAAAAAACTGTCCTTGTGTCTAGTTGTTCTGGTGTGTAGTGCCCTATAGCATCATTTTGAGGGTAGAAGTTGAAACAATTTATATCCAGGATGTGAGAGGTCTATAGATATTTAAGAAGAGAGCTAATCCATGCCAAGACATTGCTGTTAGATTTCTGTTGATATAAACAATTACAGTGAGTCCTCGATTTACAACAGTTCATTTAGTGAACATTTGAAGTCACAAAGGCACGGGAAAAAGGGATTTATGACCATTTACAACCGTTGCACAATCCCCATGGTCACATGATCAAAACTCAAATGCTTGGCAACTGGTTCATATTTATAACTGCTGCAGTATCCTGGGGTCATGTGATTATATTTTGCAACCTTTGGACAAGTAAAGTCTGTCGGGAAGCCAAATTCACTTAACCACCATGTTACAAACTTAACTGCAGTGATTCACTTAAAAACTGTGGCAAGAAAGGTTGTAAAATGGGGCAAAATTCACTTGACAACTGTCTCACTTAGCAACAAAAAATTTGGACTCAATTGTGGTCTAAGTAGAGGACTACCTATATTATAATTTAGATTATCCTCTTTGTGGGACCCGAATAAAAGCAAATTTACTTTAAAAAATTTACAGTGAAGTGCTACACATGGCCCTCCAAGGTATAATTGTGGATTTGAAGTGTTGCACAGAACTAGTATAACAGTCTGTCCGACAAACAACTAACTCAGAGTTTCTCAACCATGACAATTTAATGCCTCTCGACATGCCAGCTGGGAAATTCTGAAGTCCAAAATCCGTAACATTGTGAAGTAGGAGAAACCCTGAATTTAGCTATGGATCTTAGTCTTATTGATTTAGCATGTCAACTAACAAGACTTGTATATTATGTCTTTAAAATATGACTATCAAAAAGACACCTATTATTCTGAGATGCTGAATGCAAGTTTAGATCATCCTGCCTACATGTTTTGCATAATTTGTACCATCTGTCTTTTAAATACAATTCCTTTCTGAAGAAGAATTCTATCAGAAAATATTTCCCAACTCCTCTGAAATCAAAATGTTTGAAGGGGTGTCGAAAATGCAGAAGGTGCTATTAACACTAGGTGTTTTATTTTTCCATATCATGATCTCATAAAAGGCATCTTCTTCAACAACTATTATAGGCTGCACATGTTAAAATGTGGAAATGCAAAGTGCATTTATATAAAAGCCCACAATCTTTCACCTGGCATTCTTTATATATTTCTTCTGTATTGTGCATTAAATTATAAAACACTGGGCTTATTTTCAGAGGCTTTGTTGATATGTGTGACATTCATATCTCTAATGGCTAATTTGTTAATGCAACTTATAAAAATAACTTATCAATGGAAATGTATTCCATGCCAGAACAGATTGCAATTTAAATGAAATTAAACATTTTGAACTACATATAAAATAGCATCTATCATATTTTTTTTTAGAAAATTGCAACTTAAAAGATTAATATTGCTGAACACTTGATGCTATTTTCAAATACTAATAGCAAAATTAGTAAACATTCTGTATATATTTCTCCATGCTTTTCTTCCATCAAATATCCCTCTACAACTCATGTCTATTTACTTTATCATATGCTTTCTCTAAATAAATAAAAAAAGGAGAATAAACATTCCTTCTCAAGCTCATATCTTTTACAATAACTTTCTGAAAATTAAAAATCAGGTCTGGTAGTATAAAACCACATTGTACTTGCCAAATTTTGTTCACTGCCATCAGAGTTTCCCAAAAACATTTTATAAATGAATCCCCCCCTGTAATTTTTGGCTTTACTATTATTATATTTCCCTTTGCTACTCTTATTTCACTAATCAGACATCAGTGCAATTTTCACACCCAAACCAATCCATTGTTGTTGTTGTTATTGTTATTAAAACTTGTATGGCACCTGATTCTGAAGAATTTATGGTGGCTCACAACAATTAAACCAAGAAATTACAATGGAACTGAAAGATGACAAGAATGACCTACTACATTGTCTAGCCTGGGGTCAAAAGATAATATAATACCATCCTCATCCTGATGATAATATATCCCCAGCCAGTAAATAACTTCATGTAATAATTGTAAAGGAAGAGATCAAACGGATTCCATATTTTAACATTTATGGAGTTGCACTTTTAACACATGCATCATTTACCATCTTTAAACATTTTCACTGCATTTATTATTTCTTTTTCGCATTTTCTAAAAGAAATGCTGACATTTGTAGCATCTGTTTGAATTTTGCCCTTCAGTATATTGCCATCTTTCCTGTATCAATCCCTAAAGTATTCAGATCAATACTCAGAACAATCATAGTTTAGATCTATATTCATTCTTTTTCTATGTTTATGTATGGATACACTTAGGTTCCAACAGTGCTAGAAAAAGCTTTTCCAGGCATTTATGCCAAACAGGTCTAACATAGCACCAACAGCTTCATGAACATGTACAAACAGCAGATTCTGCTCAGTCCTTCCTCTCCGGTGATATGCCTAGTTATTGTAAGAACTGCAAGCAGAGCTGGGTGGCAGGGAGGGAGGGATCTAGCTGTTGCCATGCTTGACTTGAGGAGATAATGACAATGACACATCACTGGGATCTCCCAAAAAGTAGAGGGGAGTCCAGATGACCTAAAAGTATTGTTTTCAAATGATCTAAAACAAAGAAAAGGACCAGGGTGACATAATAGTAGTCTTCCAAAACTTGAGGCACTGTCACAGAGACGAAGGGGTCATCCTATTCCCCAAAGCATCTGAAGACAGGACAAAAAGTAATAGATGGAAGCTTATCAAAGAGAGATCCAATCTAGAATTAATGAAAACAATTAATCAATGGATGGTTCATCTCCAGAAGTTGTGGATGGACCATCATTGGAGAGTTTTAAGAAGAGATTGGACAGCCCTTTGTCTGGAATAGTACAGGGTCTCCTGCTTGAACTGGGGGTTGGACTAGAAGATCACCAAGGTCCCTTCCCATCTGTTATTCTGTAAAAAAAGGGAAGATTTCTCTTTCAGACCATTGTTAGGTAAGAAGCAAGCAAGGAAGTTGTTACTAGTTATTTAATGCATTCTTTACTGTGATGGTTAAATTTAATATTATTCTCTGTTCAAGATAATACATTCGTTTTTCTCTTTCCCTTACAAAATTATCTACATTTTGTATTTTGTTCAGTTTTATTGTACACTGCCCACAGTCATGTTGGCGTTGGGTAGACTGTAGATTGAATACATTAAACTAAATTAATTAAATTACATTCTGTGTATAGCCAGGCTTTCTATTTTTTCAGGCTGATTAGGAAGAAATATTGCTTTTGGATTAATTCTTGTGCTTGTAGAATAATTTGAATGTCACTCTCAGTTCAACACCATCTTTGTGGTCTAAGTGGAGTATTATATTCTATTTTACAGCTTACATTTGTAGTTTTAATCAAGTTTCCATTCTTGATTCCCCATGAGAAATGACAACACAAGTTATTTCTGGGAACTTTATTTTTTTTCTTAAACCAGAGTATTTGCATATTTATATATAACATTAAATAACACTTTTATGTACTGTATTATTTTTTAAAATTGTTTTGCCTATATTTTCATGAGATTAGGCTATTACTCACACAGGGTATAACACAGCTGAAATTTCTAGCCCCATACATACCTATACCACAAAGCAATGTAAGCCAACACTACATGGCCAAACACTTTGCATTATAGATTTTTTTTAAAAAAATGTTTACCTTTTAATTGGTAGTAAGATAAATATGTGGAAAGTCTTATCTCTCTTGCCCACTGAAGTTGGGGGAAGGATAGAGACTAATGAACTCCCTGGAAGATATCTAATCGTATCAAAAACTATCCAGCTGCTGCATTAAGTCATGAAGGTGGAATAGGATATATAGATACACAGGGCTCCTGGGAGAGAAAATTAAGATCTCTACAGGGGAGGGCTTCAACAATTTTAGTTCTCTTTCCTGTTGCTGGGTGGGTGTGGCCATGGTGGGCATGGCCATGTTGGCCTCCTGCAGCACTGCAGGGGGGAGTTTTTGCCCTCTCCGGGCTCTGGAGGCTTTCCTTGAGCCTCTGGGAGGGCAAAAATGGCCTCCCAGGCTCCAGAGGCCCTCTGGAGGCCAGAAATGGGCCTGGTAGGTAGGCCCATTTTTCGCCCACCCCAAGCCTCCGCATGCACCCTACACTTACCTGCATCAAAAATGGGCCGCGTGGGGACTTCTGGGAGGAGTGGGTGGGCGGGGCCAGATAGAAGTGGGATTTTGGGATTCTCTGAACTGCACAGAATCTTAGTTAGATGTTTTCCCCAACCCCTGCGAGCCCCCAGCATCCATCCCTGGATCTCTAGAAATATGTATGTATGTATGTATGTATGTATGTATGTNTTTCTATTCTGTACTTCTATTTTCTATTCTGTATTTCTATTTTCTATTCTGTACTATTTTCTCTTCTATACTTCTGTTTTCCATTCTATACTTCCATTTTCTATTCTATACTTCTGTTTTCCATTCTATACTTCCGTTTTCTATTCTATACTTCTGTTTTCTAATCTATTCTATACTTCTATTTTCTATTCTATACTTCTATTTTCTATTCTATACTTCTATTTTCTATTCTATACTTCTATTTTCCATTCTATACTATTTTCCATTCTATACTATTTTCCATTCTATACTATTTTCTATTCTGTACTTCTATTTTCTATTCTGTATTTCTATTTTCTATTCTGTACTATTTTCTCTTCTATACTTCTGTTTTCCATTCTATACTTCCATTTTCTATTCTATACTTCTGTTTTCTATCCTATTCTATACTTCTATTTCCTATTCTATACTTCTATTTCCTATTCTATACTTCTATTTTCTATTCTATATTATTTTCTATTCTGTACTTCTGTTTTCTATTCTGTACTGAATAGAAAGCCACCCTACTGAGAGAAACCGCCTGCCTTGAAAGGCTTTCCTGGCACCTGGCCTACCTGAGCAGCCTCCGTGGGGGTTGCTGTGGGAGGCTGGGGCCCTGTGGTAACGTCTGGTTCCTGCGAAGTGCTGAGCTGGGCCGTCTCTCTGACCTTTGTCTCCCTGGTCGTCCCCAGAGGGGGAGCTGGAATTTCCGTTCTGGCTACAGTCGCCATCGTCGTTGGGGTTTCGAGCATCATCGACTGTGTCACGGCAACAATTGTGATCACAGGCAGCAGGTCCCTCAGGGCAGTGGTGGGTCTTGAGGTAACCGTTGTGGTGGAGGCTGTTGTCGCCATGCTAGAAGCAGTTGTCGTAGTCGTAGCGACGTCGCGGGCCGCAGGGGTCGCCGTAACGCCGACTGCTTTCCAGATGGTGACTGCTGGGGCTTCTGAAATCCTGGGGATGTACAGACCGCTGGTAGCTGAATCAGGAATAACTTCCTCGGTAGGGAGCGGTGCCAAAGGGGTGGCAACTGGTTGCACAGATGTGACAGGCAAAACAGCCGAGGTGGTAGCAAGTAGGATGGATGAATCCGTGGTGAGCCGCACAACCGTCTTGGGTCCAGGGTCCTGCTTGAAATCTGCAAGAGAGAACAGGAAGCTTCATCTAGAAAATAGCAATACGGGTAGTCCTCGACTTACAACCCCTACAATGGAACCCAACATTTTTCTTGACGCTTGTTAAGTGAGTTTTGCCCCCATTTCATGTCCTCTCTTGCCACTCTTGACAAATGAATCGCTGCAGTTGATAACTTAGCAACCTGGTTGTTAAGTGAGTCGGACTTCCCGCGTTGAATTTGCTCACCAGAAGGTGGCAAAAGATGTTCACATGACCTTGGGACACAGCAACGGTCATAAATGTGAACCAGTTGCCAATTCTGATCACAATTTTGATCATGGGGATGCTGGAAAGGTCATAACTGTGAAAAATGGCCGTAAGTCCCATTTTTCAGTGCCGTTGTAACTTTGAATGGTGACTAAATGAACTGTTGTAAGTTGAGGACTAGGACCTTTACTCTAAATCAGGGGTGTCAGGCTTGATTTCATTGAGGGCTGCATCAAGGTGGGGATGCCTAGGGTGGGTGTGTCCAGGATGGGCATGGCAAGGGTGGGCGTGGCCAGGGTGGGCGTGGCCAGGGTGGGCGTGGCCAGCTTGACATCACATGTGTCGTGGGCGCCTGTGGAGACCTGAGCACTCTGCCAGGAAAAATAGCTCCGTTTTCACTGGCAGACAATTGCAGGAGGCTGTCGCAGCTGAAAATGGAACTCAGAAGGGCCACCGCAGTCCTCCCGAGGTCCGTCTTCACTGGCAGAGGCACCACTGGTCGATCCTTCACTGTTTCCAGGGCAGCCCCATGGGTCAGATCTAAGCACCCTCTGGGCCGGATCTGGCCCGCGGGCCTTGAGTTTGACGCTCCTGCTCTAGATCATCCTAAGGCAGGAAATGACCAGATATGCATGTAGTTCTTGATTTATAAGCCCACTTGAGGCCAACATTTCTGTTCCTACGCAAGACAGTTGCTAAGTTAATTTTCCCTATTTTGCAACCTTTCTTGCCACCGTTGTTAAGCGAATCATTGCAGTTGTTAAGTTAGCAACACGGCTGTGAAGTGAATCTGGCTTCCCCATTGATTTTGCTCGTCACAAGGTCGCAAACGGTGATCACATCACCCCGGGATGGTGCAACCGTCATAAATATCAACCGTCATAAATATGCAAAGCATTCACATTTTGATCACATGACTATGAGATGCTGTAATGGTCCTAAGGTCATAAGTCATTTTTTTTCACTGCTGTTGTAACTTTGAACCGTCACTAATGGTGGTAAGTTGAGGACAACCTGCAGTAGATTATTCAAGCTGATTAATATTATTAATTAATTAATATTATTAAGAGTGGAGCATGGCCTAGAGGTGGAGCTCTCGCCTCACCATCAGGAGTTCGATCCTGGGTAGAGGCAGATATTTCTCTCTCTGGGCAGGATGAGAATATATCTGCTGAACAAAACTCCGCATTGGCGACAGGAAAAGCATCCGGCCATTAAACACTCTGCCAGTTCCATTCAGTTGCCAAGACTCCACTCCACAAGGCATTATAGGGTCATTAAATGATGGTGATGATTAATATTATTAGTTAGAACAACCGCAATTGGAACAAGATACAACAAAGAGCTGTCTTATAATACGAATTGAGAAAACTAGACCTCCAGATTTTATTAAGCCATAGTTCCCCTCTATAGCAGAGGTGGGTTCCTACCAGTTCGCACCTATTCGGTAGAACCGGTTCATCAAATCTACCGAACCGGTTAGAAGAGGTTCCACCAGTGGACCCAGAAAGCAGGCCACACCTACAGAAGAGGTTCCAAATTTTTTTGAAACCCACCACTGGAGGAGAGATACACACACACAGACAGACAGACAGACAGACAGACAGNCTGCGCATGCGTGGAAGCGCAGAACTCGTCAAAACCGGGTAAGAAACGCGGGCGGGCGGGCCCTTCGGTGTTCCCGGAAGTTACTTACTTCCAGGTTCGCCGACCAACCGGTTCACGGGGACCGCCGCGAACCGCCTGAAACCCACCCCTGGTTGACATGTCATGTACTATCAATGGGCAACTACGGCCAATTTTATCACCTGTTGACTTCAATTCCCAGAATTCCTGAGCCAGGCATGCTTGATATTGGATTTTGGGTGTTGAAGTCCATAGGTCATAAAATGGACTTAGTTGTCCATCCCTAGTCTGGACTTTTAGAGACTTGGAGATGGAGCAAAGGATCTGTGATAATCTTAGGAACAATGGCAATGGCTACAGCTCCTCTGTGGATGTTTATCATCTACCTCAAGGCAATTTCCAGACTGGGAAATGTCTATCATATGCACATAAGATACTTTTTAAAGATATTCTCTCATCCTTATTTTTCTGCTTCTCAGCAGGAGATTGTGTTTCTGGCATAGTCTGAAAAAGTAATTTTGGAAGGGAACAGTACTCTGTGTTTTTCTGTGTAGGCAGGGTTCCATAATTGGAATGAATCACCATGTGGAAATGAGATTTCGAAAAGAAAAATCAAGTTGTATTTGCAGAGAGTCCCAGATCAATGTACAGCCTGTTCGCCAATCGTAAGTAATGAAAAATAACAACTCGGAGCCTCTCTGAATCCAAAGCCTTCTCGCAGATGATAGGGTGGATCGTGGAATAAACACTATATGTAAGTCTGTGTGTGTGTGTGCACGCCTGTGTGTGCATACCTCTCTCTCCCCCTCAGTTAAAACATACAGTTTCAGTCTTTTTTGGTAGTTTTATGAATAAGATATCAATTTTATATGAGTTAAAACTGTATGCTTCCCCTGAGCTTAAAGCCACACAATTAGGCATATTATTGTGTATAGGCCAACCTTTAAAAAATATTTTTTTTAATATGGCTGCACTGTGAGAGGGGAAATGTATAATAATCGCAGGACTGCTGGTAAAGTGCAATAGACAGAGTCTAAATTCATAGTTGCCAGAGCTGTACCATAACACAAATGAGCCTGCAAAGCAGGGGTGGGTTTCTCGCCCCGTTCCAACCGGTTCGGTTGGAACGGGGCCGGCGGCGTCCTCGGGCACGCGCGCGGTGCACGCGCGCGGTGCATGCATGCGTACTGCTCCTGGAGGATCGCGCAGGTGCTGTATGCGTCCTGCGCATGCGTGGAAGCACAGAACTCGTCAAAAACGGGTAAGGACCGCAGGCGGGCAAGCGGGCCCTTCGCCGTTCCCGGAAGTTACTTACTTCCGGGTTCGCCGACCAACCGGTTTGCAGGGACCGCCGCGAACCGGTTGAAACCCACCGCTGCTGCAAAGTAAAGATTAGATTAGAACTTAGCATGGCTTTGATTTCATCCTATAGCGTTATAGTAGTTAGTTAGAACAGTGTTTCTCAACCTTGGCAACTTGAAGATGTCCGGACTTCAACTCCCAGAATTCCCCAGCCAGCGAATGCTGGCTGGGGAATTCT